CACACCCATGACATCCCTCTCCACACGATTCACGCACACGCTCTCAAAGTTCAACATAACCCTCCCCTCCGCCGCGCTCAACTACCTCGTCAGCACATGAGCCCTGCACGCCGCGCAGACATGAGAAACATCAGGGAGAACGCACGGAGACGTTTTCTAAACGGGGTGGGCGTCGTGTCGCGGCGCATGGACGAGCTTTATGAGGCGCTCGAGCGGGAGATACGGTAGGTCACCATAGTATCTGTATGAACGAAATGCGCCTTTGTCGTTCCGAGTGTGTGCTTGACTGACGGCGTTGTTCGGCGGTGTGCTAGCCACGATCACCCGAAACCACAAACGTCCGCTCATCTCCCTGTCGACGCCGGCGCAAAGCCTACCAAACCCCTATCCGCCCTCGAGGCTCGCAGACAAAAGCGAGCTGAGAAGAAGGCCGTCGTTGTTGCGACCTGGGACGCCGCCCCTCCTACGACGTCGACATTCACCACAGAACACTCGGACCCCACCATCGTCGCAACGTCAAACAAAGCCGATTCCAGACGCTCTCAACTCTCTCCAAGGACATCGACCTCCACACCGTCAACATCTCCGTGAACGACACCGACCTCGTCGTCGATGCCCATCTCAGGCTTAAAGAGGGCATCAGGTATGGCTTGGTAGGGCAAAACGGCGTTGGAAAGACAGGTGAGCGATCCTACTCGAGTAATCATCCCGTACCCCGAGCGAATCTCGTCGAACGAAACATCTCATCGAACGAAATACAGTACTCATGAAATGCATGGCGGAGGATATCCTCGCTATGCCAAATAATCATAATCTCAAGATTCTCCATATCGCGCAGTTGGAGGTATTCGACGACTCGACGACGGCGCCGACGAGTGTCCTCGAAGCGGACAAAGAGTCCATGGACGTACTCTGCGAAACACGAAGGTGCAGGTTGCTTTCATTGCCATCATCACATCAGCATCACTGATGCTGGGGTTGGGTTCCCAGATCTACACCGTGTTCTAGGATCCGAAAAACATCACCTCTGGACGTCCCCCAAAAATCCAACTCCGCCGAACTGAACGTTGCGGTGCACAAGATCCTCCTCTCTTGACTCGCCAACAAACTAGCCGCCGCCCGTCAGCTCGCCATCATACGCTCCGGACAACGCGGTTACGAAAGCGCGACAGCACCAACTAGAGCTAGAAACGGAATACGCGGATCTCGAGGCACGAGATTCACAGCAGCATATCACGGCTGAGATGACGACGGACATCATTACCGAGATCGTGGATCGACATGCGTTGATAGACTTGGACGCCAAACGCGCGTCGGCGCGCAAGATCTTGAGAGGGATAGGATTCAGGGAAGAAGAGGTGGATGCGCCTGTCGGGACGTTGTCGGGTGGGTGGAGGATGAAGATCGCATTGGCCAAGCCATTATTATTGGATCCCGACGTGCTTTTGGCACGATGATGAAACCGAGTAAGTCCACGACTCGCATCCCGCAATTCCTTTGACCAATGAACGCCAACAACCGCACACAACAGCGAACCACTTGGACCGACCTGCCATTCTGTGGTTGCAGGAATACCTCAAAAACGGAGCTGGACGGCTTGACGCTCGTCGTCGTATGTCGCACAATCGTGAATTCTCGACCTCGACAACGTCACGGAAGAAACGTACATCCTCCGCGAACAAAACCCTCTCCTATCACGCCGGCAACTTCTCCGACTACATCCGGAACAGCGAGGAACTACGCGTGAGGACGGGGGGACGTTGTACTGAGCTGTGGAGGAGCTGGTTACGAGGTTTTGAAGGGGTTTAGAGGGGCGTTGGTGTTGGTTAGCCATGATCTGTGGTTTCTGAGGGCTTTGATGGAGGGTTGAGGGCGGAGGGGAAGGAGAGGATGAGAGAGGCGTCTTTCATGTTGTCGGTGGAGGATCGGTGAAGCGGTGGGATGGGGATTTGGATGAGTACGTCGAGTCGGTCACGATGAAGGTGAGGAAGGGCACGGGGGCTGTGTGAGTCTGGTAAGTCCCTTTTTTTTTTCTTCATGCAGGCTGTCCTGTCCAAGTCGAACGTTACTAGGCTGTGGGTTGTGTGGTAGAGTTATCCGAATAACGACGGACCTAAAGTTGCGCAGCGTGGTTATCAGATTCCGCAAGCAGCAGCAGCAGTTTTGTGCATACAAAGGTACAGCCTGTTTCCTGTGTCCCTCATGTGTTTCATGCTTTGCGTGATCATGTGTGAAGGAACGTAGTACGTCCTGCTCTCTTGGAAAACCAAGTCCGATTCGCAAGGGCTTCTTCTTGTACTTGCAAGGCCCGCCGATAAGGTCCCGCAAGATACGGCAATGGAAAACGCGACCTACCGGAAAATAATTATGAGCGCTGGAACGTTGCATAAACGTGCAAGAAAGAGAGCACTTGAAGGAGGCGAGGTATCCCCAGTGCACTATGGCGCTTGGGGGAACGTTTAAAGCCGCGAGTTCAAGATCCCTCGTCTCGTTCACCAGTAAATCCTCCACCTCACAACATGTCTGACTTGGCGAGCTACTTGCTCTACCTCGAACAGCTCGAGTACTGTCAAGGTGTGTGGACGTCGATCATGATGATGTCCATGTGTATATGGCAATTCACGAGCCCGTTTATTTGATGATGATGATGATGATTTCCCCCCATCTAGTTGCAGTCGTTTCGGCGCTATTCTACGATTACCGTAAGTCCGATGAGACTCCCTCACCTCCTTTATGCCGCTGATATCTCCAATCGGTGTCGATGCCCGTTCGGCAAGTGCTCACATTCGGGCGTGAGGCATGTCTTTTTTTCGCGCTCATCCTCATTTTCTGATGACCACGTGTGTTGTGTGTTTGGGCTCGGTCTAGGTTGACCTTGTATGGGTACGTTGCGCTTGAATGAAGCTTTTGGTGTCGTGTCCGTGCATGACGTGACCACCTTTTTTTTTTTTTTTTTTTTTTTCTTTTGGAAAGAGAAAACCGTGGTCTCTCGTCTCGTCGCTCTATGTCGTGGTTAGTCCGTCCGCCCTTGTCTCGCGCGCACGCCCCCTCATTTCGACGGATCGTCCAGGTGCGATACTTGAGCATTCCACTGCAAATGTGAGCATGTTTCTCGTCTTCTCGTTATCATGGGGGGGGGGGGGGGGCTGAACACGCACGCATACCAGTGATACCATCTTTTGTAAGTAGGCGACGTGCTGAGAAACGTGTGATCGCTGACGAGCGCTATAATAAAGATATGGGTAATATCCACCTATCAGCACAAGTGAGTCGCTTTATCACCGTGTTAGCTGGGCGTTTGTTTTGACCGGATTAGTAGGAGTAAGTGGCTTTTCAGATCCTTTTGCGCCGTGTATCCTGGATGATGAGGGTGTACCGTGATGACGTGGCAGATGTAAGCGTTCCTCTCTCGGATGATGATACCATCTCGCTAGTGGTCTGATCGTCCAACGAACGTCGCCAGGTCTCGCCTTGTACGAAATCCGTCAATGGGGTCAATTCGTCTATCGAATCGCCATGGACGGTACGTCATGGGTCGAAGCATTAAAAAACAAACAAAGCTGATATCGCCCCCCCACCGCCCAAATAGCGATCATGATCCTCCGAGTGGACGCAATGAGCGTAGACGCCTCGCCGAGCTCTCGAGGATCGAAACCTGTCTTCCTGTTGATGGTGATCAGCTGTGTCGCCAAGAACGTGACCATTTTCGTCTTGTTGATGCTCAGCGTCGGGCCTGGGAGCCATCTCGTCTGTGCGTTTCTCTCACTCTCTCACTCTCTCTCTCCCCTTTTGGCTTTCGAAGGTACAAGAGTCGGCGACTCACTCCTCCCAAGCCCTGGAAGGCAATTTCGCAGGGACGTACATCTGCGGTACGATGCCGAACACGACCCTCTTCATGCCGACCGACATCCCGCTCGTATGCTTCGAGATCTTGTTGTTCGTGCTCGCCACGGCGTACTTTGTCAAGCACGTGCGCGAGAGGTATAGGGTGTGGAAGAGGTGGAAGGTGAACGAGTTTATGAAGATTTTGGCGCGCGATAGTACGATCTATTTTGCGCTGTGAGTCTACGCCGACGAACGTCTGCCTTTTTGGTGCTTTGGTGCTCACACACACGTGGGTTGCTTTTTTTTGCTTTTCCTGTGTCGCTGGCTTGCAGGAACGTAGCGTCTAGTGCGCTCAACGTCGGGAACTGGCAAGCGAATCCCGTCAGTTCTCTCACCCTTTTCCTCGCTAGAAACCAAAAGACTAAATCTGTGATAACGGTGGGGCGGGCGTATCTCTTTGACAGGGCTTATACCTCGCGATCTCGAGCTCGCTATCGACGTTCATCCCCTTCTTCATGGTACCCCGCCTGGTGGTCAACTTTAGAGACCGCTTTGAGCACGCGCCGACGGTGCATGTTTGTACTGGCGAGTTTGGGGATGGTGCGGGTGGGGAGGAGGCGTCGCGCCTCGAGTCGATGGTGTTTCGTGATGAGGGAGAAGGCGGGAGTGGGAGTGGGGATGACGAGGTGGTTTAATGTCGTGCGTCCTTCACTGGTGGTCATGATATTTAGAGCGGGTAATATACATACTGTCGCACATCGTACATAATTCCATCTTCGTGGTGGTGTATACACCTCGACGGACGGGCTAGGGCTCTCTCCCTGTGGAGGAAAGGAACTTGGCGAGATTGGTTTGGAGATCGGGTGCGCGCATGCATCTGCCACGGTGACAATGCCGCCGAGGACTGCATCAAGCACTGGGCAAGAATACGGTGCCAAGTCATGACGAGCGCGACGATGCACGATCCAAGGAACGTACTCCCCACATGGCACACGTCAAGGAGCTGTGTTTTTACTTTGCCCTCTTGAAAAAAAAGGTATTTTGGATTTAGGTCGATGAAAAAGCTTTTGTATTACTTTTTTTTTATCGGGGATGTTGACTCAGGCTGAGTTCGCGGCTGAAGAAGGGCGAGCGAGATGTGGGGCTGAAAAGAAAAAAGAGTCGCAAAAAAATTTGGGCTCAACCGGGAATTGAACCCGGGTCACGTACATCTTAACCACCCGTTGGCGGCGGGGTAACTCCCGAAGCACGTATCATGCTACTAGACCATTGAGCCGTGCTTATCAGCGCCGGCTAAAAGATTACAGCCCCATACGATGGGCACTCAAGACCGAGATAGGAAGACACCATGTACCACAGTAAGTGCTACTCATAAAAAACGAATAAAAAAAGCCAACACAGAAATATGAATAGACAAGTCACACAGTCTTCATTCCATAACCCAAAAACGAACGGCCTGAGATGCCCCAATGTCGGGATGCAGGAGGACAGAAGAGAGCCAATACTGCAACTGCCTCCGCCGACGATCTAGAAAAGCGGGTCGATAACGTTGAAAGGGGGATTTTGGAGGCAAGGGTGGTACGAAATGGTGTTGGTGTTGCTTGGATGAGGAGAGCGTGAGCGCCGGGGAGAACGTGCAAGTGCGCATCGTGGTAAGGAACGTACCGGAAGACTGCGTTTCAAGGCATTGTATAATTCTACAAACGAGCTGTATCTCTTGTGTGCGTGGATAGTTGTCCCCTGGGAGAGCGGTGGTGGGTGAGCGGGGGAGGGGGAAAAAACGTAGGTACCAAACGTCGACGGACCTCTTTCGTTCGTATCACGCAGTCGTATACTGTCTCGCAATGTGAATCAGGGGCCATATTACATTGATACCCCAACTACTCACCGACATACGCCCCTCCGAGCTTATCGCCAACATTTGTCCATCCGCTTATTTTGACATCGCGAGCAAAAGAGCGACTCTCTCCCGAATTATCACCTAGCCATATGTCATGGGAGAATATGGACGGAGGGCCTGGAGATGACCGGGGAGCAGACGCTCGAGAGGGGAGTGGTTCCTGATCCGTTTTTTTTTTTTTTTCGCCCGAGTGAGGAAAGAAGTCGTGACGGATTGGTGCTCATGGACGTACATCACACAGCTCGTCGTAGAGCCGGGATTCTTCTTCCACATCGATCTTATTTGGTATGACCACCAAAAGACCGGTTGCGTTACGGAAAGGATGGGGAGTGGAAGTGGACGGTGCGTTTGATGAGGATTTTGGAGAGGACATAATGGCTCGTATGAGGTCCAACTGAAACCGCACTTTGGCAAGAAAAAAGCACGTGAGACTACCCCGCATGACGTAAGAGACTTTGCGTGGTCCCATGTTATCCCGCCGACAGATCCTTCGCCTCACTGCCTCTTGTTACCATTCAACCTGCTTGATTGAGGAACTTGTACTGAACTACCACAACGAAGCGTGCCAGAATTGGAGCTCCTTCCAGATCACTAGCCACCCAGTGAGCTTTCGTATTCGGAATACTTTGCTGACGAGATCTAGGACTCTTTTTGCTTATCATATTCCTCCTTTTCCGAGGAAGAACGATGACCACAAACTCCGTGGCCACACCGGGGAGCCGGCTTGAAATTTCAGTACGATCGTGGAATGGATGGCGATGATCACGTTCCTCTGATCTAGCTCCAGCCAACGATAACACAGGAAGATCTGGCGGCTCTCACTCCATCCACGTTCTCTTGCCATCCGTGCCCGAAAACTCCTCTGTCATCACAGATATGTAAATTGTCTGATTTGAATTTTCAGCTGAACAGGACTCAACAAATCTGGCAAGTTCAATGATACGCGGAGGATGTGAAACAATTCATTGTTGGCAAGGGGGTTCATGAGCTGCGCACCTGTCAAGCGTCCTCATACATGGACGATTCTTGTAGGAAGGACGTTGCCAACTATAAGGTAACTAGTTGCACCGTGACTTTGTGTGGGACTTGCAAGTCGTTCAACTCAATTGGCGGGTCTCCGTCTCATGCTTGCTGTGTGTTTGGCTGCTCCTTTCATCAAGTACGAATGGAAGCAGAATCTCTGCACCGTTCCTCTGTCACTACATTTTCAAAATCTCTAGTCTTTTCCATAGGTGAGAACGGACGACCGTCTTCCTTCGATCTTTTTGTTCTGCCTAGGGGAGACGCCTGACGCATTTCTTGATTCACTTTTGTGAATTTCAGATGATCTCCAGACCGCAATTGAGTCTAGCAACGGTCCGAGGGCTCCACGCCCAACGGGTTTCCTCGCTCCAATTTCCAAACCGTCGCGTCTTTTCTCCATAGCAGATCTAGCAGCACTCGCTCGTCTGGCAAACTCCTTGCTTCTCGAAGTCTTGCTATACCGACTTGCCAGATGCCGACTACCGACGAGAGTGTAAGCTCCTCCCACCGTGTGGCAGCTCCCATGGCGAAATCACTGACCAATGTCATATGGAACCAAGCCCGGGGGACCACTGTGAGTAATGCCTGCGATCGCCGCCCATCCCTTGCAAATTTTAACGAATCACTTATCTGGCGATTAGGCTTCACAGGACGTAGTGACGGCGCAGTTCGATAATGGCAATGATGTAGTTCGACACCATGGGCGCTCCGGCCATGATTCAGTTTGCTCGCAAGTTCGACAAACCTGAACTTCCCACGCTCTCTAGCTCGCCTGACAGTGACAAGGACCCTCCGATGCTATCCGTTCTCAACTGGATCACCAACTTCTTTGTCAGGTCAGGGGGGCCCAAGGGGACGACGTCGCCACCGCACTTGCCGCACTCTGTACATCGCGATGAACCGCGAACGGCCTGCAGACAAAGACGAAAACAACGCTGACATGTTTTTGCGTACCCTTCGCGCACGGCTTTAAGCTTAAGCCTAGAGCACGACATTCCTCCCACCGCAATGCGCTTACTACCTTCGTCCTCTAAAGGTGGAATCGAGGCTCTATTCAAGGGGTTTGTCGAGAAATGGAATCGTGTCGGTGGAAAGACACTCGAACGGCACCGCGCACCATTGCCTCGAGTATCTGTGTCACCCACTGCCAATGATGCACTCGAACGTATTTTCCGGCAGCTCATATCGCGCATTCGAGACTATGGGCCCACGGACTTTTCGCGTGAGTCTACATTCTTCACGACTCTTCCCGATGCCCAGAGAGTGACGTTTCCGCCGGGTCCTTTCGGCGGTTTCACGCACGAAGAGTATGTGTGGTTAATGAAGCTCTGGCGACTTGCGCATTATCTGACAGATGTGAGTATATTTACCGACACGGGGTTCAAGTATATCAGGCAGGTTCTCCAAGACAACTTCAACTCGTTCGTGTGAAGTCTGGCCCCGGTGGCTTCGAGATCGCATGGGTGGGTAAACACCTAGAGATGTCAGACAATCACGGCAGGGCATATAACTGGGCCAACAACGCCTGCTGAGCGTCTTACCCAACTGATCAGGGACTACAAGCTCACCGAGGTCGCGAGCATACCCCGGGGTGACCAAGGGTTTCCATTCCGTCCTCGGTCAGGCCTGAGAATCTAGATGGCCACCTTCGTCCTTTCCTCCACTGCGAGCTGCAGTTGATCCAGTATTTGCAGATGAATGGAAGGGGTGAAAGAGAGACGAGACTTATATAGGTACTTTAGACATCGTATATTTGTGTTGAGCTGGCGAACCGCGAAACCACAGTACCTCAGGATTTCCTACAGAATACAGCTCAATATTTGCTGACAATTCTCAGTAGGGAAATGTACCCCGAGGCCTGAATCACACCATCATATATAATTGTGAAGTACATGCCAAGCACAGTAAATACAAAAGACGGGGTAGACCAAGCAACGCTAAAGCTCGGTACGCTGAAGTTTGCAAACATTGGATCCAGTCAGCGAAGAGCAGGCATGGAGAGTTCTGATAGGTGAAAGACACTCGCCTTGATTTGCCCTTGTGGATTGCAGAGATCTCCAGACCGCAGTCGACGGCCGGTCCGAGGGCTTCACGCCCAACGGGTGCCCTCCTCGCCCCCAATTTCCAACCTCTCCATAGCAGAACCATTCACTCGTCCGACAAACTCCCAATTGCTTCTATCTGCTTATCGACCGCCTATGGCAGGATACAGAGACTATCTCTCTCCACGCGGCGTACACGTTGACGCTCCCTTGGACGACGAAGAAGACGGAGAAACGCCCGTCTACTATGTCGCGCCTTCGCCCCCCAGAAATCGATACTCGAGATCGAATCAGACACCAAGAATCAGAGATGTGAACTGGATGACGTCTCAGCCTCCTTCTATCGCCAGTCCTGGTCCCCAAACCCCTCATTCTTATGCTCAATGGACGCCTGTGCCCGTGCCTATGCCCAGTGCATCCGTGCTGGCACCCCCGCCCCTGGAAATCATCCGTTCTCCAGTTCTCGGACGAGCCAGTCCCGTGCCCACCGAGCACGAGATCGGAGAGCACATGGTCATAGATGGCGCCGGATACGGGGACTACGAACAAGTCACACCAGGCCCACTGGAGCCCCCTCGCAAACCGAGCGGCGCAACCCGCTTTGTAGGGGGGTTCGTCAAAGGTCTCAAGAAACTCCCCCTTTTCCATCGACGCAGAGTCTCGGGGACTACCACTCCCAGTTCGTTCGATACCGTGCAAGCACAGGCAAAAGCAGCACAGCAAGCAGCACTGTCTGACCCGAACGACGACGATCGGCGGCTCCCGTCGAACGAGTCGTTGGAATACTTGGATATGCCTGCACCCCAACCTGCCCCGGCGATCGCTGCCGGTTCTCCGCACGTCCGTCCCGCGAGTGCGGTTGGTGCTACTTCGGTGCATGGTGTTTCGCCGCGTCGGTCGCCTGTGGTATTGGCGCCTATGATGGCGCCACCGTCTTCGGGCTCTTCTTCGTCATCTGAACAATCTAGTTCGTCATCCCCTCTGTTAGCCGGGCGGCGTCCCCATAATGGTCCAGGGGGACGCTCACATGAGGGGGTGAGCCATATACTCCAGGACGTGCCACTTCGCCCGATCACACCGATCCTCGTCACCGGATCACCGCCGCCTCCATCCATGCCCCAACCCCAACCACCGCCATCCCTCCAACCGCAGCCTCAACTTCAACCCCAACCCCAAGCCACCACCATAGCTTCCCACGTCCATCTCGAACCCCCAACCCCCACCTCCCTACCGTCCCAAAACACCTTCGCGTTCCAAATCGCCCGCTTCCATCGCTTCATCAAAGACCTCTCCGACCTCCCCTGGGTCTCA